GTTTTCGGCACTGGGATTTTTGCGCCGGTAGGCGAGATTTTTGATGACGACAGCTTGCTCGCTTTTATTGTTGAATCTAGGTTTACCGTTAGAAAGTCGATTCATTGAAAAAGGAATATATGCACCCATAGATGATGATGAGAATACCTTCCGTAAATTCAGAAGCACCAGTTGATGGATCTTTAGAGCTGAAACTTCGAAGGTGAAATTTCGAAAATGGTCTTGAAGACCCTTCCATTTAATTGATCTGTAATGCCAAACTCTGCGCGGTTTAGTTTCCCAGCATTCATCGCTAATTCATCCAACACTGAAATGAGTTTGTGATTAGACGGTCCCGATGGAGACCTTACATTGACTGTGTGAATTTCTGGATTGGTTGTTAGGTATAGATCCAGGTAACTAGCATATTATCCATCACGGTCAAGAATCCTGGTTAGTTCATTTATAATCCGAGTAAGTTCGCTGCTTCGCGACCTTGTTCGTCATTGATATTTGAAAATTTGAGCTATTCGATATTGTAGACATTGAAGTCACCGAATATAAAAATTTCGGCACTGGGATAATTAATTTGCAGAAAGTCAATGGTGTTTGCAATTGAAGAGAATAGTGCCCTATATTGTGTATCGCTAGGTGATCGATAATCGCAGCAAATGAATTTCGTTATTCTCTGTGATATTATTCTGAACCACATAAATCATAGTTTCAGGGTTCCAGTATTTCCTCTCAGTGGGTTCAGTCAGCGTTTGCAATGTAGACTCATCACATTAGAAACCTCTAAAATTGTCAGTGTTTCTCTGCTATATTATGCATGTTATATGTATACATGTAAACCTTTTGCTTGAATCACTCTAACAAAAAACCCGCATCAAAATCCGTTGCATAGTTTTAGAGATCTAAGCATACATAGGGACAGAGGGCGGGAAACGACTTTGTTCAATAATATGTAGTGATACAGTTGAAGAAATATAATCACAGCCAGCATAGTTACTTTTTCAATTTCATTGATATCATGATCATCTTTGGAACCCAATTAAGTTCTGAAAAGCGGTTTTCATTTGTGAATGTGCACACTTCCCGTCTAGACGATGAAAAAATCTTGGAATTTAGGGCAATAATTCACTGGACCACATCCTTCTAATTGAATACTAGCGCAATGACTATGCAGACCATTAAAAGTTCTATTTTATTGTCTTTCGTGGACAACATTCAATTTCAGTTAATTCCCAAGTAGAGATATCTCATTTTGAATATTTTGATATATCTCTTCGTCACGGCATTTCTGAAAAATTTAATCCAGAAAGAATGGGTATAATTTTTTTTTGAAGAATTCAGTGTATATAACCAAATAAAGAATATTCTGTGGGGAAATTCGATGTTGAAGTTTCAAAATATCTGAATGTTTTTGGAACTCTCTCATAAATATAATATGATATCGTATTATTAAGAAATTCTCTATAAAAAATTGCTTGCTTTTTTCATAGACGTAGTTTTTCAAATAGCTATACGGCATTCAAAACCTGATCTGTTTTAAAAACTGAACGACAACCCTCAGAAGTCGAAACTTGTGCGAGCTAAGGACTAACGAGGTCTTACCTTTTAACGTGTGATTCCTAACACGAATTGGAAGATACCAAGCGAAAATCGATCGTTCAGGTTGGGGCTTGAACCAGCGACCAACACGGGAGTTACTGTTATATAATTTGACAATTATCGAAAAAATGATACAATGTTCATCATTAAAGTTTCCACCAAAAATGTTTCGTTTTTTTAAAAAAAATGTTTTCAATTCAAAATTTAGATAATTTCCATAACAATGATTTTTTTCCGACGTAACTACAAATGCATAGGGTTTTCATGTGGAAGCATAGATCAAGACCAACTCGAAAACAATTTTTCTACCACATCATTTTGAATTAGGCGAATATATATCTGAGTTATTATGAATTCAAAGTAATTTTTTTAACTGATGGTTATTGTTTTCAATGCACTCTAGTCTTCCAGACATATATGAAAACTATCGGGTCAGTATATTCTCATTTCACATGGTATATATCGTAAATCACTGTTATTAACCCTCACCCAAATGAAACCCACGCACACTCATCAAGAACCGCCAATTGTGCCGAAGCTGAAGAAAATACATCCTCGAAAAGAGATACATGGCAGCTATTACAGTTAGTCTGATCACCATCCATAACAATTCCGCTCGCCAAAACGACGATTACTTCAATTTACTGTAACCACTTTCTATGCTTCTATTCTCTTTCGATACATCTAAAGTTACTAAACTGGTCAACTGTGTACTGGTATTTTCAGCAATTTTTTGTTGATTTCCTCTTCCAGTCAGGATAAATACGCATTCATTCATCTCAAAGGGTACAGTTGGGGAAAAGACAATAGACTCGACGTTTCGAATATATGAATATATTTAATTTATCCTCAGGATCCGAAAGTAATTTTTTTCTGTTCAAGCCCTAAATTCAAGCAAGAACAGAAGTTTTCCTACGAAACTACCGATACAGTTCCTACTATACCTTCTTTTGAAAATTATCAATTTGCTAATTGATAGGTTNTTTCAATAATGTAAATACTTACATTAAAATGGTTTTCACATACATGAAAATCTTTACTGTTATGTGAAATATAATTTTTATTCCTTCTGCATGCATTTAACCATTTTGTTGGACGATTACGATCATCTTCAGGTACTTTTATAAATATTGTATTGGGTGATTTAATGGAAGTATTTGTGCACAAAGGCACAATGCAATATTTGTAATATTGTTTGTGTTCCATCGTCTTTGAAATTGAAAATCCTTGTTAGATTTATACATTCAACAACACACAAACAAAGCCGAATCAAGGTTAAACACAAATCACGAAAATATACATCCTAATAATACAAATCTGTTAAAAAAACAGGACCTCATCACATTTTACACAGAAGCGTTTCGCTGCAGCTGCTTAAATAAGTAGTAAATTAGTAAACGGCAGTCACAGCCTACACCATATGCGTGCGCCCGGATTGATACAGTATGACGTCATGATAGTTCGCGCCTTCAAACGCTTGTTTCAATGTATTTTTCAACGCAAGAAACTTTCTATATTTTTTATAAACTGACTATTGATATTCCACTGTTCATCTTTTGCAGTAGTTAGTAGTTATCATAGCAGAACACATTTACGATGTAAAAAAAATTTGCAAGCAACAGTAAAAAGATTTATATATATGAAATATAATTTCCTTATAGTAGCATAAATTCATGCTCCTACTAAACATGAAACACAAGAGTAACATTACAAAGCATTTCTTATGAAAAACATAAATTGAGTGCCTGAGTAAGAGAAGGGACTACGCCTTTGTTTAAATGGTTCTGGATCGTGCTGCTACTTGTGGACCACAATATAAACTCCTTGGAAGTCCGTGGAAACTAACCAAAACATTGACGCCTGCCGTGAAAGCTTACATTTGAAAAATCAATTATTTGCAAAAATGCACAGACGTTTTTTTCGACACTTGTTTTTAACTCCTTATCAGTCCTTTTTTGAACTTTTTGTTACCAACAAAGGCATTTCGGCTCTCACCAAATTGTTAGTTGGTAAAAACATTCATACGGTTGATTGATTTCATCAAATACATAGGAATTTCGTTTAAATTGAAAAGTTTCTTCTTCGAAACTGATTATTTGATCCTACTATATAAATTAGTTTTTTTAAATTACTTTAAAAATGCTTTCAATTCCTCATGAACGAAAAGAATATCCGCAAGTATCAGTATCATACAATACTCCTACATTCTACATTCTTCTAGATGACTTTGATAAAGTACTATCCAACTGTTCAAAGACTTACCTCTATCAAGTGCTTCATCTAAATCGTGCTTCATCAACAGCAGGCACTTTAGGTCAATGACTACCAACTTTTTTTGTAGTGCGTTGGATGATCTGGACACCAACGACATGTGGTTCCAACAGGACAGCGCTATGCGCCACACAGCTCATGTCTGGATATTCTGTATGGGCGATTTTAGGACATGGTCATCTCACGCAGAGGTGATGTGAACTAGCCACCGGAATCGTACGATTTGAACTCGTTAGAACTTTTCTTATGAGGGTTTCTCAAGTTGCAGGCACATGCGAATACGCCACAAACCAAAGCAGTCCTCAAAGCTAACATAACTCATTCCATCGGTCAAATTTAGCCTGAATTATGCACCAGTGTCATGAAAACTTAGACGGACATTTGAATGACGTTATATTCCAACATAATGGCATCAATAGGTCTTTCGGACAATTCGTTTCATTTAAATTTAAAGTTAGGAAGCGCTTAATGAAAGACCCTTTATATGCTCACGCTTTAATAGGACACTCAACATCAAACCAATTTGTCTGAGGAGAGCAAATTTCAATAGGCCGATAGGTTACGTTAATTTTGAATAATAAAACTATCAAAAAGTTACAGTCCGATGTATGTACAAAATATAAGGGAAAATGATTTATGAAAAATGTCTGCAATTTTTCCGAGGTGTTTGCCATCGAAAATATCTAACTTGAGGGCAGGTATAAGCCTTTTATTTTATATGCAATGAAGACAATTTTCTGGGTTGTAACAATCTAGATGTAAACAATTAAGATACAAGCAAATTAACCGTCAGTGAGTCGCATATTTCACACAGGCACAGTCTTAAGGAAGATGTTTTCTGTAGTGCTTGTGCATCTCAAAAAGTAATTTTTGGATTTCAATTATGTCTTGTATTATATTATTTATCAATAATATGATTCTGTGAGAGTATGTAAATAATATGAAAATCCATTTTAATCATGGGACGTACTAGAGTACGTTACTTTTGATGTACACGGTATACGATTGTATCCACGAATCATCTTTCAATTCTAAGCTTCAGGGCCACTAAACAAATGAGAATCAGATAAACTGTCGCTTATCCGTTATCCTATCCCATGATGTGTTCGAAGTCCAATATCTACTTCTCGACCATTTAGCTTTCAGTCGAGTACCGTTGTAGTGGGACGTAGGTACCGGTTTCAGAGAAGTACGGTCGTGCCCGTCAATTATTATGGTTCAAAATCGCCTGGTGTAATTATCACTAATTTCGTCCCTAGCTATTTATATTTGGAATGCTGTATTGAGGCTTATCAATGAACTACTTATAATAATAGTCGGTTGTCAGTAAAAAACAACTATTTGGAAACAAACGTGTGTGAAGGTTCTAGTGGCGTGATGTTTTAGTTTGAACTGTGAGGGTGACATAAAAATTCTTGAAAATGGTGGTGAAAGCTTCGAAAACTTTGTTGACAAAGTGCTTTTGCTTCAGTAAATACAACGTATGTGAGAGGATATATTTTTCAAGTCGATATTGAGTATTGAAAAGATCACGTACTTGGAATATAATATTCATTAGATAATTTCATATTATTGTCTGGATGTTCTTTCAAACTTACCAGATTCTGAAATTCCCACAAGAGAAATTATTTTAACTATAACTAGATTAAGTATAAGGCTCTTATATTAATACAAGTAACTTATCAAAATAAATAACATTTAATCTAACATCTTCCTATTAATTTTTAAAAATAGCGACATTCAGAACGACTTTGATACTTCCAATCCAATGTACAGCTTTCTTGTATTTTATACAGGGCCCAGAAAAACTTCATTTTTATAAGTTTTCAAAATGGTAGAAGTTTCTAGTTGAAACTCTACGATTGTCTCACTACTTTGTTCATGAGTATTATAAAAATCTGCCATTTGTTCGTTATGTTCGCAAGCATTAATCCAAAACTTACATGTTTTCATAATTTCGATTTTTTTATGAGCCCAACTCGAATAACGTAGGGAATATGTAATGTTGCATTCAATAATTAATAAATTTAAAACGAATCGTGATATCCAATGAATGAAGAAACAATGTATGAGGAATGAACTAAGCTTGCATACAGGATGATTTTGAGTGTCATCCAAGAACTATATATCATCACAGGGTGTCCTAAACATAGACGACAGAAACATAACTTTTCAATAAATTGATAGATGTAGCCGTTACTACGTGGTAGGAGATCATGATGAAAAGAGAAATGAAAATTTCTATGTTTTTCACCACTTTTATTTTTATACAATGAATATTGTATAAGTTTGAAAATGTCCATATAGGACGAAACTGCAGTAACGTTAGTTACAAATAAAAGTGGTAAAAAACATAGAACATATCNTCCCCTTTCCCTAATATGGCAGAAAATAACAGATCCATAAGATATTGAAAAAAAGTTTGGGTTAAGAAGGGAAAAAATTAAAAAGATTATAGAATCGAGAGTGATTGAAAATCTAAAAAATAAAACAGAATCTTTAAACTTTTATGAATTGTTGAATTTTGAAAAACGTGATAGGTGGAATTTTAAATCTTTGGCGTGAAATGCTGTCTCTCAACGCACGTTTTGCTAACCTTCTCCTGAGATAATACTAACCTGGTTAGAGAACGCGCGTCAAACGACAGCATTTTTGTTCTGGTGATGAGAAAGACTTGAGGAACATATCACAGCTAGTAGAAAATGAAAAATATACGATGTTGAACTATCTGAGAATTCTTAAAGGGTGTCAAATGTAAATTCAGTCAAAATCGGTAAACAAATGGAAGAAAGTTTGTGAACTCAATGTGTTTGATAACCTTTGTTAATTGTGCAAACTATAGAATGATGAAAAATTTGAAAAATATGTTGTAGATGCTTTCAAACTTTAAATATATGTTTTGATGGTGGGTGTTTGAAAATTTGAGAATAATTACTAAGCGAATTGAAGAAATATCATAAATTTAGATGTAGATGAGTTTGTGAGAACTTCGGATCACCAACCTCATGGATACCTCCAATATTATCACTTTCATTTGTTATCTTTATCATTTTTATGCATCATGATACTGATGGTAATAAACGACGGAAGTGATGCAATAAATAATTATACTAAAAACTGTTGAACAGTTCAAATGAAAACCATATCTTTGACTCTGATGAATTGCTATACTATACTAAATAAAGAATGAAAACAATGTAAGCGATCATATTATGCTTGGTTTGATAATTCCGTATTTATTCAAAGAGCATTCTGAACACGGAAAAGATGATAGCCAAGTCAACAATACTACTCCGATGTGAGATACAAAATGGGAATATTTTAATAAGAATAAAATAGCATAGGAGAAGTACATCAATATCAACTTTATCTTGACAATCATTTCTATGCCAGTCTGAAAATGAAATTTGACCTTTATATCAGTGGTCATAAAAATTCAATAATAACGAGTTTCAGTATGAGTATGAGACACTGACAATTTCTGTTCTCGTTTTCCAAAAAGTAAATCAGTATATCTCCCAAGCCTAATAGTTCGGACTAGGCTAGTAATTTAGTGGAGTAGCGTGTAATTTAGTGGCTTCTACTCGCTACTGCACACAGAAATCGTTCGCATTCGGTTTAGTATATACTGTACACAAGTGAGTAGTGTTTTGCAAGATGAACAGGCTGCAACGCAATAGAGTAAATAAACTGAATAAGCTAATCGCAATGGTTATTTTAGAAGAGGTGGATGAGGAAATTTGTGTCATGGATCGATAGAAGAGATAAATTAGGAGCTACTAATTGTCTTCTGAAAGAATTAGCATTGGAAGATCGCAAAGAAAACTTCGATAGATTGAGAATATCCGAAAGTTGTGTGAATTTTCTGTTAACGAAAATACAGTCTAAAATTCAGCGTAAAGATACTCTTTTGAGAAATGCGATTTCTGCAATTACAAAATTACAAGCAAGTAGGTAGATCTAAAAACGAATGCATCTCTTTAGGTAAAAATACTTGTAAAAACAATAGGTAGTAATAATGATTAAAAGCTTATTGTATCATTAATGAATATGTTTTTGAAATACTCGAAATAATAAAACTGTGCACAAACCTGATGTTTTTAATTTTCAATTTATTATCCTTTTTCCCAAATCCGGGGGTTAAACTTATGTTAAATGACAATTCTTATTACTTTTGTTTTAACCGGCAACCCTGCGAAGTGCCCGCTGTGAAATAAATGATTGTGTAGTAGATAAGAAGGTCATTAATGTATGAAGTAGTGTACAAGCAATTGTCATTCAATAAAGACGTTTATTCATCTACAGACAAAATTATCATCAAAAACAAATTATACAGTCCACGATATATTCAAACATTGAAAACATTGGTCCTTCGAGCCGGATTCTATTTGAATCAATCATAGAAATCAAAAAAGTGAACTCAACGATATTACGTTTTTTCGCTTGTTTACCTACATTCAGCCGCTGGAATTCAACGTGGAACAGCGATGATTCTATTGGAAAAAATTAACTGGGGCCCAGCAGGGACATTAAAAACAGCGAGTAAATTCATTTATTTTTCTAAGTCTATGTATGCGGATTGTTTCATATGTTCATTTTTGTAGTGTGGGGACTTAATATTCCATAAACATTCGTCCTGTACGAATTTGGAAACAAACTTTAAAGTTGTTTCTTCGCTCCAGCCAAACGACATTTTTACGGCCACTAATGTACTCGACTAATCAACAGGTTCGGACTTGTTTAGCCGGTGAACCAGTTGGCACGGACGCATGGTGGGAGGCGCTGCTCGCCTGATAAAAATAGAGTAAAATGGATTGACTCGACTAAATCATTCACTAAACTACTCGACTAATTTTTTGTGGTTCGCACACATTTAGCCACTAAATTAATCGCTACTTTACTAAATTACTAGTCTAGTCCGAACTAGGCTTCAGAATTAGAGTTCCCTTAACAACCAGGTTCCTCACAAGATGTAAAATACGTATTTTAATCATCCGCAATAGCTACTTCATTTCAGTACAAGAAATTATTGCTAAAAAAATGTTTATTCTTTAAATTTCAGATCAACTGTTTGCCATCAATTCTTCAAAATGGATTCCACCAGAGAAGAAGTATGTATACGTTGGACCCAATCGATCCCACAGAGCCAACTTTTAACAAAATATTGATAGCAAACAGAGGAGAAATAGCATGTAGAGTCATCAAAACTGCTAAACGAATGGGCATCAAAACAGTTGCGGTTTATTCTGTGGCGGATTCCCATTCAGTAAGTTTTTTAATTCGAAGTGAATTTAAAGTGTTGATATAATTATTTTTCTCTTCGATTCAGAGGTATATGATATATTAATTTAGTTTGCCAGAGGATAATAGAATTGATTATCATCCAAATGCAAGGATCATCTCTTTCAGTACGCTACCTAATCACGTAAAGATGCTGCTATTATGGGAAATTTTTTCAGAGCTCATTGCATGATTATAAAAAAGTCATCTACCATTTCCTGTTTCATAAAGTATCGAAGTAAAGAATGAAGTTTCTGCCGGTACAACTTATGAACCTCATTCACTTCTTTGGTGAATTTTACTAAAATTAGTAATATATTTTTCAAATGTACCTTTCACTCATAGTTATTTTATATTATTATATTTCACTGATATTACTTTACATTTGTTTTAAGCGTTTGTGTTCCCCTTTCCCTGCTCAATCATTTGCCTAAGGATGGGTGGGTTTCATAAATTTCATTGGGCTCATAATCCTATGATACTACTTCCACTTCGTTGATGATTTTTTCAAAGTACAGCATTCAAATTCAGAATGTGTTTCACAATTTCTCTTACATTGATTTGCATTATAATATTCTGTATATGTTGCACTTTTTGTTAATAAAACTATTTTGACCAATATTTGTCTCACTCAAATAAGTCACCACCGAGTTCGAATATACTAAACATGGATTGTTTGATGATATATTTCAGTGTGTAAAAGCCAAATGGAATGAACTCGTTATTTCGGTTATTGAACATATTTAAAAAAAATCCCGAACATGTCAAATGTAAATTATAATTTGACATTCTTCAACGTACAAATGCCACCCCTACCTTCAACCTTCTTCAAATGACAGGTACAAACAACCCCAATTTTTTAATGGGATGTATATGTTTGTGATAAATCGTTTGATATATTCTCTATTCAAAAATGTTATCGATAAAATGCACTCAAAAATTAACATGTATTGCAAAACGTAATGAAATATAGAATACAAAAAGAACTATGGATGTTAACAAAGTAAATGTTCAAAATGTTCACCGCGAACGACATGGCAACATCCTAATCTCAAATAAAACTGTCTTCTAACATTATTTAATATCAGGCGTAACCGACCTAATCGCGCAAGCATTATTCATTCTTTTAAGTCATTTAAATCTGAAGGTTTAGTTTTGTACACATTGCTCATTACATAAAAAGAAATCTAAAGATGGAAGATCAGGTGATCGCGCTGGCCATTCAATCGGTCCTCGCCTCCCTATCCACCGATTGAGAAATGTTGTATTAAGGGTATTGCCAGACATTAACTTGGTAATGTGGTGGTGCTCCATCCTGCTGAAACCATATCGTATTCACTGGAACTTGAGGGTTTCCTGAATCAGGATATGAATTTGTTAAACTTTCAATGACATCATTTTGAAGTAGTGCCAACTAATTATCCCCATTCAACTTGTCCTCAATGGAAAAGGGGCCAATGATATGGTTTCCTACAATCCCTGCCCAAACATGAACCTTTTGAGGGTATTGCGTGTGTTTGTCTCTCATTTAGTGAGTATTTTCCGTTGACCAGTAGCGGCAATTTTGCCGATTGGCATGACCGTTAAGAAACAAAATACACACATCAGGAAACATAACGTCTTCTAATTAGATGATATTGTTATAAACATGTTCATCATTTGGTCAGAAAAATAAGTTCTTCTATCAAAATCATTTTCCATGAGCTACTGAGTAGGTATGATTTTATAGGGATACATTTACTTTTCTTATAATATGTTTACTATCGATGTATGGCTAACATTGAATATAGTGGATGCCTGTGTCCTCGATGTATGTGAGATTTCCTCAAACTCAAACATCAAATCGAATTTGTATTCCTCATTCATTGCATTGGCAGCTACTTTTTTTATCTGTCCCACATGACCAAGCTCGCGAAACTATTTTGCTTATTGTTCCTTGAGATATGGGCAGTAAATTAGGAAATTCCTCATGAAATATGCGAGCTACTTCCTGTTGTGTTCGGTTCTTATCTCCGTAACCAACCATTTGTAAAATTGTTATTTTATGCATTTCCGTTAATATAACCATTTGTCAGACTTGAAGTTAACGAACTTTAAAGTAAAATTAAAATAATGACAACTAATATTATAACATACAAAACAAGTTGACAAGGCGTTTTAAACTAACGTTGCCACAGAAATTATTTACAGTTTTTTAAAGGATACCATCCAAAGAGAACATTGCTATGGTTTTTGCTTACTTTCTTATTATCAATACCGCAAGATCAAGTAAGTTATTCTCAGAACGTATTGCAATGAGTTTTGAGTGTATTTTATCGAATTTCGGTAACCACATGATTTTGATTTATTTTATTTTAATTGTTGCAATAAATTTGCAATAAACACAAGCCTATACCTTCCATTTAAAACATTGGGGGTTGTACCTATCATTCGACGGGAGTTGAAGGTAGGGGTAGCATTTTTCCGTTCAAGTATGTCAAATTATAATTTGAATTTGACGTGTTTCGGGATTTTATTAAAATATGTACCGCAACTGAAATAATGAACTTATTCCATTTGGCTTTTACACACTGTATACTTTAGATCGTGAAACGAATGCTGGAAATTGAATAACATCCCTGAAGTATATTTTACAATTAGACAATATCCAATAAAATGTATTTGCAGTACATATAATATATTATTATGATATATACTAAAACTTAAACTAGAATAATATATGAAAAAAAATTTCAGATGCACTTGAAAATGGCTGATGAAGGAGTTTTCATAGGAAATTCACCAGCATCCGAATCTTATTTGGATAAAGGAAAAATAATGGAGGCAATCAGAATCACTGATGCTGATGCTGTCCATCCTGGTTATGGATTCTTATCAGAAAATGCTGATTTTGTTGGAATGTTGGTAAGACTCGTAGTTACTAAATAACTTTTTCCGTTTCACCCATTTTCTAAGCTTCTGGTGACTAGATTCAGTCGAAACTACACCCACTCTTGAAATTTTCAGTAGAACTGAACTTTGTCATGTGATGGGCTCGGCCGATACCAACGTCGAACAGTGCGTTCATTAACACTTCCATTGCCGAATGCGTGGTTAGTTTTTGGGCTGTTTAGGCAGCGACTTGGTTGAATTTGAATTCAAAGAGAAAAATGGGGAGAAATCACTTAACGGCATTATATAGTAATAGCTGAAGAGAGGCAAAAATTGAAATTTGGAAACATATTAACACCATCAATGTATACCTACTCGTAGAGTACAAAATTCTCTATCAATCAGTCTGCAACACGACGTAGTAGAATTAATATTTATTGAGGTATGGAGCTACAGAAACACATGACAATAAAAGGGACAAAACTTTTGAAACATTCACATACAATTGAATTACAGCATTTATGTCCATTTATGTTGTGATTAGAACAACATGTGTCAGAAAAAGTGTTCCAGTTTTGGTGTGTGGTGAAATTTGCAACTAATTCATCCCTCTGCAGTATCCAGGAAAGTATTTGTAGCAATTTTTCTTCATTTTATATATTGTGCTAGTAAAACTCTAGTCTGTATCGCCTTTGGACTCTCTGCTTTGGTTTTCAGGGTCACACATTTGAGATTAACTAAAAACTAATCGTGCATTATCATTTAGCAAATAAAGTGGTATCGTAATCTCGCTGTTATGTTGATGAGATTATTTGCACAACACATCAATCATTGGGTATCACCCCACCATATATTTATTTATGTATCGGCTCTGTTGCAATTCGGGAGGACAATAATATTCGCTTGATAGCGGTTCATTTTGATTTAAATATGATAAATATCTTCAAAATAATTGAATTTTCCAAGAAAATCAATAGTGTTTTGTGGTTGAAGTATACAGTGGGATCCGACAGCTTTTGCGCTACTAAAAATGTTTAGGCAAAATTCTGAATTTGGTTGAATTTGATTTATTAAACTACACAGGTTTACATGGAAATGTCAGTCCACCATTTCAAATCTCCGCGAAGGGACAGCTTTCTGAATGATAACCTAATATGACAGATTAAGAGAAACCTATGGAACTGTAATACTGTTCGAAAGGTGATAAATAATTTTTTTGGGAAAGAAAGTTTTTGGCTTTCTGCTACTCCATCTGATACAAAAAAAGGGGATGAGAGAATCTTCCAAAGAAAGGAAGGAAGTAATCAATTTGAAAAGTAGAAAGCCAAAAACTTTCTTTCCCAAAAAAATTAATCACTCCTAAAAATATAACCCCTTCAATTCAAAGTGATAAATAAATTCATGCGAATTTCTTATTGCGAATTAATTCCAAATTTTAATTTTTGCCTTTTCAGCTCATTACTACATGATGTCATTGAGCAATTTTCTCAACTGCCGAAACAGCCCTAAAAATTAATCAGATACTTGGCAATGATAGTGTTAAAAGTGCACTGTTCGACTTTGGTTTGCGAAATTTCGTTCCGGAGATTTCAGAATTGAAGATGGGCCCTGAAATGGTTAGCTTACAGTAATCCACGACGAGGATTTGGAGACCCTGGTGGAGACTAGTCCATCACAAACTATTTGTACCTTGGCGAAAGAACTGGGAGTCAGCTTTCATGCAGTTTTTGATGGTTTCAAACGTATTGGAAAGGTTCAAAAGCTCGAAAAGTGGATGCTCCACAAAACGATCATCTTTTTCATCGGATTGTCACGTATGATTGAAAGTAGATCCTCTCTGACAGAAAATTGGTTGGACACCGATGAGCCTCTTCAGTCCCACTCTTAGACCATGGTTACTGTATGTTGATTAGCGACGGGTATAGTTAACTTTAATTTTCTGCAACCGTGCCAGACCATCACAGCATAGTCCTGTTGTAAGAAAAACGACGAAATGCACCAAAAATTGTGCACTGACTATACGTGAAAGATTTTTTTCCTTTTACGAGGAATTGGGCAAATTTGGATATGCAGTTGGTTACCTCGTTCACAGGCAGATGGAGCGACGACAAACCTGTTGTTTGTTGTAGTCTTCAGCTTAGTTCGAGGAATGATACTCTGACGGAATTCGATTTTCAATTATCGGAAATCATCGACTTTATGTTGATGATATACACTACCTTGCACTGACGAGTGGCCAAACAGCCCGAAACCGGTCTGCAAGTGTGTTCCAATAATTGAAAATCTATTGCGGCAGTTGTATTGCCAACAGCATATGCAGGAATAACTTCTGTGAAGAATCCTGCACTGACACCTGTCGGATATATTCCAACGCCCTTCGTGGTATTAGCCAGGGGAGTAGTTGTTTTCTGATAGGTGTCAGTCCATTAACCTACTGTGTAGGGTGTTGAGACTGGCCTGAACGAATTGTTCCTTTAGATGATTTGATTTATAGCCAGTCTTCAAGTATGCCCACTGACTATACGTGAAAGATTTTAGAAGGAATCTTTCACCTGAATCCTACATTCATACAAACAAAGTTTCATTTTGTTTAAAAACATTGTATTGGTATTGATAGGAACCACATTATCCATTAGGTTCTTTCAACAGTTCAATCCGCTCAATTCGTTTAATTTTCGTACGGTGATTTATGAAACATGCGGACGGGCATTGTCGTGGATCGGACATCTTGTGTTGACCAGTGCTGGCTGCTGCTGATATAATTTTTGGTACATTTCGTCGATTTCCTCACAATAGGACTCTGCTGTGATGAATTGGCCCGGTTGCAGAAAGTTATAGTGAACCATACCAGCCGCTGACCACCATACAGTAACCATGGTTTTTTTGAGGATATTTACCTTTGGGAAGTGTCTGGGTGGCTCATCGGTGTCCAATCAACGTCCTGAACATCTCCTGTTATCGTAGAGGATCCACTTTTATTCACAGTGACGATCCAGACAAAAAACTATCGTTTTGGTTGCGCAAAAGCAAAGAAAGGCAAACTTCGAAACATGACAATATCTGTCGAACATTCAAATCGTGAGGCACCCTCTTCGAGATTTTCAATCTTTCCAATACGTTTTAAACCATGAAAAACCGCATGGAACCTGACGCCCATTTCTTCCGCCATTCCACGCTTCGTTTGTGATGGGTCAGTCCTCCTCCTATCCTGGAGTCCTGGATTACTGTAGGTCAACCACTTCGGGGCTCATCTTCGAGGCTAAAACTCTGGTACGGAAATCAACAGTGCGTTCATTAACACTGTCATTGCTGAATGCCTGAATAAATTTTCTGGCGGTTTCGGTAGCGCTTTAGTACGACTTGAATTCGAGAAAAATTGGTCGAAAATCGCTCAACGACATCATGAGCTGGAAAAAAGCAAAAAATTAAAAAAATGCATAAAAGAACAGCATCAATGTATAGTACGACACGGTAGAATAAATATTTATTGAGATATGGAGCTACAAAAACACATGACATTAAAACAGACAAAACTTTTCAAACAATGTAATATAATGCTGACTATCAATCAATTTCCATTCGTGAATTTATTCCATAATAGAACTCAAGTACGTCATTAACTTTATTTTCTGTTCCAAATCACTTGAAAGGTTAATTGAAGCGTATCGATTCATCATACGTTGGTGGAAACGGGTACTCCTAATTACTCGAAATACCTCCATCAAATTCCTCATTACACCTGCCTATTGCACACTTCAAACTCCGTCCCTTCCATAAAAGTTCTTGCGTTACAGGAACAGGAAAGCGTCACTTTTATAGGACCATCAGCGAGGGCCATAACAGGAATGGGCGATAAACTAGAGTCCAAAAGATTGGCAATGGCTGCGGGAGTGAACACTATACCGGGATTCGACGGCATTGTCGAAAATGCAGACCACTGCGTAGAAATCGCCAGAAATATCGGATATCCCGTTATGATAAAGGCATCCGCTGGAGGTGGAGGAAAAGGAATGAGGATTGCGAGAAATGATGATGATGCCAGGTAAAGAGATTATTATATTACCGAACTGAAATTCAGTTTAGAGATTGTAAACACAGCAGGATACGCCTCTCAAGTATTAACAACAGGAAATACATCTAGACAGATCAGCACTTGAAATATTCATTTTGAAAATGAGGTTTATCGGCATTTCAAAATAGTGGATATAACATTTGGTGTATAGGTTGGTCATTGTAGAAAAGATAGAAAACCTTGATTGAGACTACTTTCAAAAAATTACCTAAACCTCTACCTAAGGTACCTGTTCAATTATGATCACCTGAAGCATATTACCTCACATCTACATCAATAATAATTCTTTCTCGGTTTTTAAGAAAACAAGTTCAATAATGGTGATCTAATCAAATCTAGTTGGTCATTCATTAGAATGTTTGAATTTTTTAGTTTAATAATTTCCATTGCTTCCAAACGATTCAGTTTCAAACCTTTATTTTTTATTTGCAAAATTTCGAACTCTTCGTTAAAGATATGATTTTCTTCTAGAATATGATTTGAATATGTTGAATTTGTTTTCTTATTCAAATAGCTCGTATGATGTTCCTGGATTCGATTCCTAAATATTCTGCCAGTCTGATCACTTGATAAAGCTACTGTGTAAGCGAAACATGAGATATATTTTTCAAATAAAGTTCGTGGAGATCATTGGTTAAAAAAATATTCTCAAATTATCATTCACCGTTTCTTAAAAAAATCAACTTATAACCAAATTAAAACCATCTATTTATTACGTTACGCAATGTATATGATATAAAATCTTGTCGCGAGATTCACATATTTTATAAATGCACAATTTTTCATTTAGAATTGCTCATGTCAAAATTAAGTTACATGTACGTACTTTTGTTGCCATGCAGATAAATCTCGTGAAATGTTTTTATATCATATAAATTGTGTAATTTGATGAATTGAAGGGTTTCATTCTATTTAAAGTTCATTTTCTTCTTTCCGAACCTGTTGTAGAGTAATCGGTCCCTACAACATTTGTTAGAGCACGACCAACCTATCTCTAACCTTTGCCGAGTTATATCATTGAATTCATAGTAACGTCATGTTATTGTTCATATTCTTTTCAGCAAACCATTTTATTTGACACCCATATCATACAGGTACGAAAAAACTTGTCTCTCATTTCGGGCAGTCCGCCATATTGGATTTAGAGTCTCGTCATATTGTTCACATTATGTAAACCTTTTCACTTGATACCCACGAGATGGAGGTGAATAAAAAAGTAGTTCGCCGTCTTGAACGGTCCGTCATATCGAATGCAGAGTGACGTTCCATTATTTTTCATGTGTTTTTTTCCAGAAAACCCTCCCATTCAATACACATATCATGGAGGAGCATAAAAAGCTAGTCCGGTACGCCGTTACAGAATTGGAGTGACGTCATGTTATTTATCGTATTTGTCTATGGAAAATCTTTTTTTGTACTCATATCATGAGGGTGTATAAAAAGCCATTCCGCCATCTTAGACTGTTCGCCATATTGAATTGAGTGTTACGTCCCTTCATTTTTCGTATTCTTGGGGGGCATAATCCGCCATCTTGGGCGGACCACCATGTGGGAAGTAGAATGACGTCACTTAGATAACCATGCATTGTCTGCATTGTCAACCAAACTTAACAAGTATAAACATTTCAGCACAATCTGTTGAGGCTAATTGTTTCAATATTCAGTTACGAAATTTGACCTGAACTGAAATACATACATTGAAAGTTGAATGTGAGAATGTTTGTTATAAATTATCTTAGTGAAGTCGATATCTATCTATTTATAAACCTGCCACAATTAGTTTCACGTTTCCAAGCTGACACTGAATCAAGCAAAAACAGTTTTCGAGTTGAAAATATATGCTGTCTATTCAAAAAAATTAGATGATTTCTCATTTTGCTCATAAACAAATTATTTATCCATCAATTTATATTTATACCCCTCCAAATTAGTCCCCGTACGATATAATACAATATACTAACGTTTTTTCCTATTCCTAAAGCAGCTCAGATATACACTTTTTGGTATGTCCTTGCTCTCAGCGATTCGGTTTTATTCTCTGCAATCGTCGCAAAACACCGTCATTTCGTGGCTCTCTTCAATCTTGGGAACAGAAAAAAATCTCAGATGGCCAAATCTGGTGAATTGGGTGGCTGAGGCATGATTATGGTGTAACGAGAGATCAGGTCCATTATCGTGATGCAAAAGCCATAAATTATTTTACCACTATACCGCACGTTTTCTACGAATTGCTTTCCACAATCGGTGCATAACTTCTAGATAATACTTTCTGTTGACCGTACGACCACGTGGCAAAACTCCTGATGCACTATGCCATGTAAAACGTAAAAAACAGTGAGCAACACCTTGACATTTGATTCAACTTGACGTGCTTTTTCTGGTCTGGGCTCTCTTGAGCTCTTCGATTGAAACGATGGGACATTGGTTCCCATGTCAACCAAATATTCATGATGCGTCACCAGGTATGACTCTTTTTAGCAACTCTGGATCGCCGTTGACGTCAATCAAGAATTCCTGAAAGATGCTCATGCGACGTTTTTTTTTGGCAGAAATTCAGCAATTTTGGAAAGAATTTCGCTGACATACGCTGCCCATTATTTCCGAAAATATGTCAACATCCTCAGCAACTTCTCTAATATTGATTTAATAATTCTCCATAACCATTCTAATGTACCAACATAAAAAAATTAAAAAATCACTCATATAATGTACGTAGCCCAAGAAATTTTTTTATTAAAGTCCACGTACGACTCTCAGAAATCATCATGATTTTGGTGTGATGCAATTGAGTAATATACACAAATTCTTTATCAAAAATTTGTTAACAGTATTCAATATCTAGCTATACAATATATCATAGAATACTTTTTATTTGGTTTCCATCAGGTACACATTCTTCTTTGTTTTGTAAATGATCATGAGGACGATGGAAAATACATGTATTGCATTTACGTATAAAGCGCGTACGTCCATAAAAAGTTGTATATTCTATTATAATACAAAACCGCTCTTCACCAATTACAATCCATTCAAAACTTATTCATGTAGTTTCCAATCAGTAGTTTGAATGGATATTAAGTGAATAATTTGTGTACTACCGACTCGCTTCGCTTTGGTATGGCCTTCCAAATTATATGTGACCAACTTTTGAAACATTAAAGTGGGTATAGTAAGCTACCTTGAAAAGATAGACATCTGCCATGGCTGTCAACGGTATGTGTCAACCAATCAACACAAAACACAAAAATCTCTCTCTTGTATCATTTCGTTCTGTGTTGAAAATCGTATGGAAAATTGTTCGGTAGTCTTTGAAATTATTACGCGCTGGAAGACTTCGTTTTCTAATATGTAGTGATGTCCCTGATTTATTGAAGCGAAATCGGTAAATTATTCCTTGTGTTTTGTCAATCAGTTTTAATTTCATCGAAGTTGAAAAGCAGGTATACATACATCATCGTATAAATGACTCATAAATTTTGGTATCTGAAATAGTATATCGTGTTTTAGAAATCGGTTACCAATGAGCCAATCATCCAAATCATATTCTGCCTAATAGGCAAGATTTTCATTTTTTTTTTCATGTTTTTATATTTGTGTCGCCCACGAATACAAACGATGTTGTCTATTAGGTGAGAAAATAGTCTCTTGTTGAACCTCAGTGCACATACCTATCATTTACAGTGTGAATAGAAATATTTGTTACTAGCGATCCGCCCGGTTCCGCACGGGTGCAATACTGATAAATTCACCCACCGGAAATTTAAGGACATGGAGAAACATTGATCAAAAGATAACTTTATTTTATGAATGCGCTTTTTTTCCCCGCGGCTGGCGCTGCAGTTGGAATATTTGAAAATTATTTCTTATTGCACATTTACAACATGAAACAAACCTATATACAAAATTTCAGTCACCGAGCATATAGTAGTACGAAGAAACGGTGATGATGAAAAAGTAATTTTCATATGTAAACGCTCCCCTTTCACCTCCACCGGGGGCGCACCAGTAGAAATATTTAAAAATTCTTTCTTAGTGGGTATCTAAGACCTAAGTAGCACCTATATACCAAATTTTAGCTTCCTAGGACTCACCAGTACAGAGAATCGGGAATGACTTCCCGACTTTGCTTATAAATGCGACTTTCGCATTTATAAGCATAGGTACAATGCTTTACCCTGATACATATTTTACATTTGCAAGCTATTTTGGTAGAATATGATCAGCGACATTGAGGACAGTTCTCCACGGCACCGACCCTTGTTCAGCATCATATCGATTTTTTCCAATAAAGAAAGTGTGACTTCATCAATAGATTTTTTTCCCATTAACATTGCAAGAATAGAAAATTATCAAGAGTGAATAATAAATTTAGTCGAATCGTCAGATGACTATTTAAGTATAATTATTTTTAATGATTCATTTTGGTTCTTCCCTAGTTCTAGTTGAATCGCATAGCTTTACTAGTTGACCCTCAATTTGTCAAATGTGTCAAGTGTGTCAAGTTATTAGCTGAGTTATATAAACTTTTCACATTTTTGTGAAGTACGAAGTCTGTCCATACTAACACGGCTAGTGTTGCCAGGTCACGTTCATGCTTAACAGTAGAACTGGTGTGAACAGACACAAAAGAAAAATAGAAAATATATTTCGTAAATACTTACTACATACATTGTATTCTCACTATTTACAGTCCTTTAATAATCAGTATAGAAAGTGAACTGTGCTATAAGTGGATACGCAGTCTATTTGCATTATAGCTCCGTTGTGAAAGATTTACCTCTGATGGATATTGCTGATTTTGTTTCTAAAATGATACAACAATTATTCGTGCCTGCAAAATCACAAATGAAACAACCTCAATTGTTTCTACTCGTGTCATTACCCAGCAAACCGAGCATCGTCGGTTTGTTCAATCAATTATTTCCTCAATTTATCGAATGTTTCAATAGATCTGCTATTCCGGTCGGAATATTTATGATATTTTCAAAAACTACACCTCACGATTTGATCTCCACAAACTTTATTTGAAAAATATATCACAACATGTTTCGCTAGCACAGTATAGCTTTTTTAAGTGCGAAACATGTTGTGATATATTTTTCTAATGAAGTTTGTGGAGATCAAATCGTGAGGTGTAGTTTCTCGAAATTGCTATGAATATTCATCAAGTAACGGCCGAATCAATCAGAAAAAAAATATTCATGATATATAAATGGTGTAAGGAATAATAATAATAATGTAACTGCAAGCTGTATTGTTGTGTTTCAACTGNAATTTTGAAAATTTTCCGAGATATTAAGAAAAAACTAAAGCCCATTTTTTTCCACTTAATTGTTTATAACTTTTGTATTTTTTATCGGCGCGTTTTCGGACCTTCCCTTAAACTTTCTAGGCAAAAATACGAATCGAATGACACCTTGGTCGTAATTTTTGGACAGAGCTGAAAAATGTTACAAAAGTAAGTACATGTGAACTATACTATTATTAGATTCAGTATCATACGAATTCAGATCAAAGATACTGTTTATTTCAAATCAAAACTAGGTTTGATTGATAAACTCTCAAATTCATCCTACATTTTTTCAATTAAATACTATTATGAACTCATCGTTCACGAAAAACTATGTGGGGTCATCGAGATTTTTTTTCTCGAACGAATATCACAAACTCGTTCCTGAACTTACTTCACACCTTCTCTTGAACATTTGGTATCTCACTCTTCCATTGAAACACTATGATTTATTCTTCATTTTCGTAATTTTAATTTTATTTCAACAATATTGTACAATTACTATCACTGACATAATCTGAGCCGACAGTATTATTCCTTCAAATGAAAAGTGAAAGATGACCCATGTTTTGAAGACTCATTAGTCTAAGTATTCAGTAACATAAGTTCATAACCCTGCTTGCCTCTAAGTTTGGTGATTTAATCGAAAAAATTCCCAGATATCAGTAAATTATTCGTATTTCCAAAGAAACTGCGTTAGAACGGTTAGCATCGTCAACTTTGCTTTCACTGGAATGGATTGATGGTGTATACTTCTGCATTATACAGGGTGTTTACTAAATATGCGGCAAAAAATTAAGGAACTATTCCTTGGACTATTTTAAGGATATTTTGTTTCGAAGGCACCGAACAATTTTGGTAATTTTAAAATTATTAACGTAGCCGAAATAAAAGTATAATACTACACTGGACCTATAGGGCCACCTAAAGTCATTTGTTTATACTACTCCAGTGGGAGATTTGAGAAATCAAATAATTGCTGAGTGTAACGCAATCAGAAACGATCCTAGTATTTTTGAAAAAGTTCGGGAGTCGATGAGGGGAAGATTGGATTCTTGCATCTGAGCATTTTCAACAATTCTTCCGTTCTTTCCGTTAATTAAGAAACATTGCAAACATTGCAAACGTTACAAAGCGCCCCATCAAAAATCATCAAAGGACAACGTATCTTTAGAATAGTCCAAGAAATTGTCCCTTAAATTTTTGCCGTATATTTAATAAACCCCCTGTATAGTGACGTCCACACATTATTCAACATCGCCAAAATTTGTAAATTATACAGATTATTGCTTTCTTCTGAGCCAAAATTCAACTATGATGTTCGAAATATTTAATCATGAGATCCCACTTCAAAGCAAAAAGCTGAGGAGCTACATTACTGGTCACTATTTTGAGTCTCAAATCTCGTTAAGTAGATATACAGTGTCACACATAAAGTCCGCATCAAATGGGATTTTTTTTTTGTTCATCTCTTCAAGCAACTTTTGATATGTCCATTAGGTTGTGCTTTAAAAATGATTCCAAATGACATGCATATGACCGATCAAGTGATTTTTCTTCCCTGTCCAATTTGACATTTTTTCCAAAAAAATGTTCAGAAAAGCAGTTATTGCTCGAAATTTCGAAAATCGGTAAAGAGAAAAGATNGACTTTTTATTTTGTATTTCTATTGGTATTTACATGGTTTAGGCATATGTTTCGATTTGATTTAGTGTTCTTAATTTAAATTATAACAGATGTTTGTTAGAATATTTTACGGTTTAGTTTTCTAGGCAACAAAATCTAAATTGATTTCTGAAGTAATTTTGTTCATTCATACCTCATAAAAGATATTTAGTAAATGTGAAATTACTTTCGTATAATTCCTTCCCTTAGTTTAATTGCGTTGTAATTTTTCGTAATTAGTGAATCAAAGTTTAACTGTTTGAAAAGTGCAGTAAAGAATAAATTATTGACTTTTCATTGATATTGTTTTTCAAGTATGCTTATGTATCAAGCTATTTCGCAAAAAGTAGAAACAAAGTGAAATATTTATCTGTTTTTAAAAACTGTATCAACTTTGCATCATTTTTGGCATAATTTTTTCTGGTGTTTTGAATTTTTGCGAAATAAGTTGTACTTAGAATTGCAATTGGTTACAAAAATGCGTTGGAAAGATAAGTTAGACATAAAGCACTAACTTTGTTGAGGTTTGGCTAAATTTGAGAAATCGGCAAATGTCAAATTTTCGAAGAACTGTAAAAAACTAATTTGTACTAGATAGTGAATAATTAATGAACTCTTGTCATCTTTCATCTTCCTTCTTATATCGTTCTCGTTTAGATTTTTTCGATTATATTGCATCTAGATAGGTTTGATTAAAATTTTTCACCTCGATTTCCACTGCGTATATTCCAATCCCTAGCTAACACAGAGGATTTGTCGTTCACGGGAGGCGATAGCGAATTAACGAAAAAAATCTTTTGTGTGACTATTAAAAGAAGCATCGGCTATTTTACCTTCTCTTGTTTAGTAAATTAAATGATGAGCAGATTCAATACTTTACAGTTTTATTTTCAGATTATTTTCAATCGCGAGTAAGTCTTGACAATTTCCCATGTTGTTATTTTGATTTGCCATTCTGATTTGTCAAAATCTATAATTTTACAGGGAAGGCTTCAAATTGTCAACCCAAGAAGCACAGTCTAGTTTTGGCGATAGCCGGATGTTGGTAGAAAAATTTATAGATAAACCTAGACACATAGAAATCCAAGTATTAGGCGACAAACATGGAAATGTCATCTACCTCAACGAGAGAGAATGCAGTATTCAAAGGAGAAATCAAAAAGTTATCGAAGAAGCTCCCAGGTAGGATCACTTTACAATGAGGCATATGTCCTCTTTTATGAACAGGAGGAAACGAAGCAGCACCTTTGATGTGATTTTTTTTTCTTCTTTCCTTTTTTTTATAATCTTAGTTCTCTGAATTGATTTGTATTTTATGATTGTTCCAAATTTCATTATTTATTGTTCAAAATTGAAAATTTAATAAAATATTTTATATTTCAGGCAAAAACTTGAAAGAAATAATGCATGATTATCATTTGTAATTAACGAAATACAAATTCATCAGGCTAACAAATTACATATTTTCAGAACAAGTCAGTATTACAGTAATGAAGCAAATACACATCTGCAAAGTGAACATCTTCAGAATATCAAACTTTGATACTTCTCCGCTATTAAACGGTATTTTGTTTTCTTGACTGGGTGAAATAATTTCAGATATGTGTGCAGTTAATTTTTGCTCGAAATCAGTTGTTGCTTGATTTCAGAGTATACTAGTCTCTGTTGAATCAAAACTGATATTTTTTAATTAGAAAAAAGAGTTTTTGTTGAATTTATCCAGTATATAGCTGATGAGGAATGGTGCTTCGTTTCAATTTATTACGTTATTTTCAATTTCCTTAAGGTTGTTCATTGAATAAATAGGAAAAATTAGTTTTTGTACAATTCAATACCAGCCGAGGAAGTAAAACTTGAGAGCGTTTTCAAAAATTATGGAGCTCATGCTTATCCATCCAAACATGGCCATTTTTGGAAAATAAACAGGCGTTCAGCAAGTATGTTTGGAAACACATCAATTATGGAAAGAAAGAGAGTATTACTAAAATTATAGTGATTGAATCAATGAAACTGTCCAAAAGAAAATTGTTACCTTCCTTTCAAGTTATTGTTTTCATTCCCGTTTTCATTCCTCAACTGATTAATTTGAGTTCGAAAGAATTTCAAATAAATAGTTTTATCATTATTTAAGAGAGCATATTCTCTTTCATTCCCTCAATCTTATCGTATCTGTTTTTACATAGAGTTCTATGATATGTATTTGGCCCAAAAGAATGAAAAAACATTCTAAAAAAATATTTTTGATACTTTCCATTCCAACTGAAGTGTTTTCTATTCTACTCTCCTGATAGATGTTCTTGCTTTTAATTATAAGAAAGAGCGTTTCAAGTTACTTTTATAGAAAGGGCACAAGCAACTTTTATAAACGAAGGAAAACAGTCCAAAATGTTTTTCAATTTGTATTTAAATTCCACATACACACACGGTTGCAAATATTGAAGGGGATCGCCACTGAATTGAAGAAAAAGTCATCGGAAACATTTTAACGAAGCAATGGTTACTGCTTTTAGAATTATTGGTTGATTTGCAAGAATATATTCGAATAAAATTATTTTGGTATCTCTTTGAAAATAATACTTCATTGAAGCGATTACGCAAAATAATTTGATATGAATTGAGCAATAACAATTATTGCCCTCTCAATGTTTTTATCATTATCGCTTTGACAGTAGAAACAATCGTGACTCTTGATCTCTTTTTAATTTTTCGTGAAACATGATGATTGTTTTTAAGAAAATGCCTAGATATTAGTAGTATATATAAATTGGACTCTGAACGAGCGATAAATATATTATAAATGACAAAATTTATCATCTTCATAAATATATCGTAAAACACAGTTCAGTCCAAAAATAACCTAATAATGAAAATGTACTCATTTTTTGTGTTACTGAATTTATAAAATAATACCTTACTCCAACCCTCTCTGTCAGCCATCCCCAAAAATTTCAACTAGAAACGGAGTTGCAACAATCAAGATAAAATAAATTTTAAAATCATGTGATTATCGTCATTCGATAAAATATACTCAAAAATTATTGCAATATACTTAAAACTTATTTTATGTTGAGATATTGATAATAAGAAAGTCAGCAAAAATCATAGCAATGTTCTTTTTAGATGGCATCCTGTAAATAATTTCCATGGCCACGTTAGTTCAAAACGAGTTGTCAACTTTTTTTGTAAGTTGCAACATTAGTTGTCAGTAATTTAATTTAAGTTTGAAGTTTGTTAACTTCAAGTCTGACAAATGGTTAGATTAACGGAAATGTATAAAATAATAGTTTTACAAATGATTGGTTACGGAGATGAAACCCGAACGCAAGCGGAGGTAGCTTGCCTGTTTTATGAGAAATTTCCTAATTTACCGCCGATATCTCAAGGAACAATAAGCAAAATAGAGAATCAGTTTCGCAAGTTTGGTCATGTGGGGCTGATAAAAAAAGCAGCTGCCAATGCAATGAGTGATGAACTCAAATTTGATGTGATGCTTGAGTTTGAGGAAAACCCACATACATCGAGTAGACAGGCATCCACTACATTCAATGTTAGCCATCCATACATCGATAGTAAACATATTGAAAGAAAATAAAATGCATCCCTATAAAATGATATCTACTTAGAGCTCATGGAAGACGATTTTGATAAAAGAACTTCTTTTTGTGAGCAAATGATGGACATGTTGGATAACAATATCATCCAATTGAAAGACGTATGTTTTCTGATGAGTGAACTTTGTCTCTTAACGGTCATGCCAACCGGCAAAATTGCCGCTACTAGTCAACGAAAAATCCTCTCTGGATGAGAAAAGAACACACGCAATACCTTCAAAAGGTTAATGTTTGGGCAGGTATTGCAGGAAACCATATCATTGGTCCCTTTTTCATTGAGGGTAACTTGAATGGTGATAATAATTTGGTACTATTTCAAAATGATATCATTCCAAGTTTAGAAAATTTATATCCTGATCCAGGAAACCCTCAAATTCCACTGAATACGATATGTTACACCACCACATTATCAAGTTGATGTCCAGCAATACCTCGATACATTTCCCAATCGATGGATAGGGAGGCGAGGATCGATTGAATGGCCAGCGCGATCACCTGATCTTTCATCATTAGATACCTTTTTATAGGGATATGTAAAGAGCAATGTGTATAAAACAAAACCCTCAGATTTGAATGACTTAAAAGAACGAATAACGCTTGCGATTAGGTCGGTCACGCCTGATATGTTAAATAATATTAGAAGACAGTTTCATTTGAGATTGTGATGTTGCCAAGACGTTCGCGGTGAGCATTTTGAACATCTGCATTTCACTAGTTTGGACTTTCATTGTCTACATGATTTAAATTGATTTTAAATACCTGAAAAAATCTGTAAAAAATTGAAAAAGAGATTAACTGAGAAAATAACAATTATATGAAGCAAAAAAACTGAAATTTCAATGAAGTAAAATACAATCAATAACCAAAAAATAAAAAGAAATGTTAACACAAGATGAAAATTAAAAAATTATCAACAAGAAATGAAAATTGAAAATTGAAAAGATTCCAAACCAAGTTTATTCACGACGTTTCGATTTTAGTATCCACAAACGTCTTCGGGTAATCGTCTTCGGGTTATCATCCGAAGACGATTGTGGATACTAACAATCGAAACGTCGTGAAATAACTCGGTTTTAAATCTTTTTAGTTAATAACTTTTTAATTTTCATTTTTTGTTAAAAGGTAATTTTTTAATTTTCATCTTCTGTTATAAGTTTAATTTTCTTTTTGATTTTTTGGTTGTTGCTTGTATTTCATTTCATTGTAATTTCAGTTTTTTTTTTATTGATATAATTGTTATTTTTTCAGCTATTCTCTTTTTCAATTTTTCACAGATTCTTTCAGGTATTTCAAATCAATTTATAACATATCAGACAATGGAAGTCCAAACTAATGAAATGCACCAAGAAACATTGTCAACTACCTTCAAACAAATTTTGAACCTCTACTTCGTTAACATCCATAATTCTTTTTCGTATTCTACATTTCATCACGTTTTGCATTACATTTCAGTTTTTGAGTGTATTTTAAAAAACCACATGATTTTAATTTATTTTATCTTAATTGTAACAATAAACTTGAAAGCTATAACATTTTCCTTTCAAACCTATAAGTCCCATTTTAAAAATTGGGGGTTGTACCTGTCATTCGAAGGGGGTTGAAGGTAGGGGTGGCATTTTTACATTGAAGAATGTTAAATTATAATTTACATTCGACGTGTTTCGGGATTTTTTTTAAATATGTACAGTAACCGATATAACAAATTTATTCCATTTGGTTTTTACACACTGTATATATGGTTCTATGTTTGCCATTGATTTGCGACATGGTTTTAAGCACCTCGTACTCGATGTAAAAAATAATTTCCTAAACTATCCTTGACACCATCAGTTAATCAAGAAATGTATACAATAAATGTGCTGAACTGAATATAGTAGCGATTCTACATACCTTTTGAATTATATTCTACTGATTGTCGTGTGAAATAAATTGAAAAGGAAACTTTTGGTACTCATTTGCTTTTTTTCAGCGTGTTCCTCAATGAAGAAACTCGAAAAGCAATGGGCGAGCAAGCGGTATCGCTCTGTAAAAAACTAGGTTACTCTTCAGCTGGAACGGTGGAATTCCTCGTCGACGAAAAACAGAACTTCTATTTCTTGGAAATGAACACAAGATTACAAGTGGAACACCCAATCACTGAGTGCATAACAGGAGTGGACTTGGTTCAACAGATGATTCGAGTAGCCAGGGGACACAAGCTTAAAATTCGCCAGGAAGACATCGGAATCAATGGGTGGGCGATAGAGAGTAGAGTGTATGCGGAAGACCCTTACAAAAATTTTGGGTTGCCTAGTATAGGTCAGTAATAAAACAATTCACAGTAAATACTTTTTTGATACAAATTGGATGATATGAACTTCATTATATATTATATTTTTCATTTAATATTTATCTTTCATCAACCACAAGGATTATTGCAGCGGGATATTGACAGTACTTCACATCATCAAGTATCTAAATTGATAATAGTTTACGGTAACTCGGGCAAGTGACATTAGAGTAGGTACGAATTATTTTGCTAGCTAGACGACGTGGGAGATGAGATGAGTCCGAAATATAAAAGAGTACTCACTGTACCTAATAACACCTAACGGACAGTTAGAAATAATAGTAGGAGTATATTCTATGGTTCTCTGATATTTTTTATTCACTACAGTTACAGTTTACAATTTAAAAGACCTAGAGATTATCCATAGCTTTCAATGGAAATAAGGTCCAGTGAGGTCCACAGTTTTCCAATACTTTTCATTTACTAAAGTAGAAAAATGTATTTCACCTAAAACTACTCAAACTTTATCGATAGATATAGGTGCAGTTGGAATACAAATTATTAATTTTAGTTAACGTAAATATTATGAAAAACGCAATTTTGGTCTCGAGGGTACACAGTGTGTATTTTTCTAGTTAACTATGATTTTTAATCATGACAGTTTTATAATTATTATATATAGTTCTCATTATAATCTTAGTCTTCATCAATATGGAAATAATAGTGAACACAGCTTTTACATTTTCTACATATTCTAAAGAAAATTCTCATTATCATTTTTGAGTGAGAACTGGTCGAAAAGCGAAACTAACATGCCATTGCTTTCAAAAACAAAATACATTGCTAGGCAACACATTACGGTATCAGGTACCGTAATGTTCGATTTAATGGCCTCAAATAAGTAGAGGGTGAGCTGATTTTTTAGACAGAATGAAATAAAATATTAATTAGTAATTAGGAATTGATTTAGAAAAGTTTATTCCTTATGTTAGGTGGCTGTTATCATATGAGATTTCAGAAGTATGTTGAAGGATCAACGATTTTCTTTTCTTCAGTTAGGATGGTTAACGTCATTCAGTATGCGGATATTACTTGGGGGTGGGCCTATAGGTATCACCTGCCAACCTCAGGATCTTGTCAAACATGAATAACTTCAGCATAAAAATCATAAAGTATAGGCATAGTCAAGGTTGGATCTCACCAATTTAGCCATCAAATACTCTTGGGTAATAAACATATGTATTCTACCCATGACTGATTACTAATTACTACAACAAACGTTCAAAAACTATTTTTAAATATAATGTGTCTGTTGTCAGTTCCCATAGAATCGAGATTAGTAATTTTGTGATATCAAGTTTTTGATTCTAAAATCCCAGAACCGCCAAACTTAAGTCAGAAACCTAAATTAGACTGACTCACAATGCCAAAATGAATTTCATTGACACATTGATAAAAACAGTGTTCTGAGTTCAAGATGTTGAAAATAGATCTCCTGATATCTGTGAATTATATGTGGATATTGGGGTTTTAGTTCAAAAGTGTTGTTGACCATGAATCAGATGAAATTGAAATATAATTATGAAAAGACTTGCAATGAAAGTCGAATACAAAACAGTTACGAGTATAGATACAATTTATGAATATAACATATGAATGATAGGACATAAAACAAGAAGAAAACGCACGAAAGGAGCACTGTGTTCAGTGTTGCCAAGTTTATCTTTTTGCGATTCTCGAGTTACTGATCCATTTTTGGGAAAGAAAGTTTTTGGCTTTCTACTACTCCATCTTGATACAAAAAAAAGGATGAGGGAATCTTCCAAAGAAAGGAAGGAAGCAATCAATTTGAAAATAAGTAACTCTATACATGGATGTGTAGACCATGCAAAGAAGTAACTTTCAGACACAAACTGAAAGAAATTCCTCCTGAAACAGCTACTTTCATATAAACATTGAATTACACAAAAGAACAAAATTCTTTCGAAACAAATACTTCTATATGAACACTGAATTATACAGAAGATACTTTTCTCTACTCAGTTTATATTTCAAACATTCGTTGTGAAATAAAAAGCAGATATCATTCACATGAGTTCTACTTTAAATGAATGGTAACAAATTGCACTTACATGGAACACTGTGACCCTCACTGGTATACATCGATGTTTCGCCTTAAGACACTTGCCCCAAGGCTCTTCAGTAGTATTTGTTTCGAAAGAATTTTGTTCTTTCGTGTAATTCAATGTTTATATGAGAGTAGCTGTATCAGGAGGACTTTCTTTCAGTTTGTGTCTGAAAGTTACTTCTTTGCATGATCTACACGTCCATGTATAGAGTTAATTATTTTCAAATTGATTACTTCCTTCCTTTCTTTGGGAGATTCCCTCATCCTCATCCAAGATGGAGTAGTAGAAAGCCAAAAACTTTCTTTCCCAAAAATTAATCACTCCTAAAAATATAACCCCTTCAATTCTTACTGATTCACTGTTTGAAAATTAAAATCTACTGATTACTTGAAATAGTGGCATTTACCTATAGTATGCATCTATAAAATGTATTTTGTACTGTTTTTTGTACAAGTATAATGCTTCTCTAACAGAAAATCTACTACTCAGCATGAAAATAACCTGGCAATACGAACCGTGTACGATTTCGTGCCTCACATTTGTTAATTCTGAACATGTACGTATATCACCAAATCAGCTTATATACGAGGTCTGTTCAAAAATGACGCGAATTTTCATTTTTTTCCAAAAATATTTATTTATTCATCAAGTTTCATTTTGTCCCCTTCAAAGTAATCTCCCTCAGATATAATACACTTGTGCCTGCGTTTTATCCAATCCTCGAAGCAGTTGTGATATGCTCTCTTTGGTATGCCCTTATTGAGCCCTCTCACCGATTCAGTTTTTATCTTCCCGATCATCACAAAACGCCGTCCTTTCATGAGTCTATTCAATCTTTGGAACAGGAATATGTCGCAAGGGGGCAAATTCGGTGAATATGGTGGCATGACAACTGTGCTATTTTTGGACAAAAAATTTACGAACAAGCAATAACGAGTCTGCAGGTGCATTATCGTGATGCAAAAGCCATGCACTGTTTTTCCGGTCGGTAGCCAGGCGGTTCGACGTGGGTGCTTTATTCACTCACTCGAATTGAGTGCCGTGTTGGTCGGTGGTTCAAGCCCCAGTCTGAACGATCGATTTTCACTTGCTATCGTCCAACCCGTGTTAGGAATTACACGTTAAAAGGTAAGACTTCTTTAGTACTTAGCTCGCACAAGTTTCAACTTCTGAAGGTTGTCGTTCGTAGAGGTGTGACAGCTGGTTAACGGAAAAACATATCTTAAACATATTTTTTTAAATAAGATGATACTCCTTATTGACCGCACGACCTCGTGGCAAGAACTCTTGATGCACAACGCCACAGTAATCGAAGCAGACAGTAAGGAAAACCTCAACATCTGATCGAACTTGGCGTGCTTTTTTGGACTTTTGGTCTCGTGGGCTCTTCCATTGAGATTATGATACTTCGGTTTCGATGTTATAACCATATACTCACCATTCGTCACCAGTTATGAACCTTTGAAGCAAATCTGGATCGCCGTTGGTGCGATTCATGCAAGGTTTTTTTACTAAAAATTCCGCAATTTTGGAACGAACTTTGGAACGAACGTTTTCAGACATTCTAATTTGCAAAAGATGTTAAAAATATCTGGTGCTGTATGTGTTGTGTCTTAGAAGAGCAAAAACTTGCTGATGAGAAACATAATGACTTCTTCTGAATCACTTACGACAGTGGGTTCAAAAATGTACCTTCAAATACACCTGTTAGACATTCCTCCCCAATATTTCTTCTGATGGCGTAACGATTGAGAAATGAGCATTTTTCCTGATTAGTTGCGCAAAATTATCACTTTCTGAACCGCAGTCCTCTGATATTTCAATGATCATAGTTCATAACATCAAATGCTGTAAATGCGTCAATGCATCAACGATTAGGGAAAACAAATTCGAATGGAACTTGTAGCACCAAATGTTTACTCTACAACTATAGCAGAAATCATCATTGGTATTTGCATTGACTGCGACAATTCGTTGCAGATTCTTCGAAATATAACCTTCGTCCTCACAGTCGGCGCATATACAACTAATAATATTTGCCACAGACGAAACGTTTGATACTTCAGTTTCATTTGACCACGGTCAACTAGCCTGCATTTCGTTTTCTCTAATCGTGACGTCACTAGTAAAAACATAAATACTCTACTACTATAGCAGAAGTCATCATTGGTATTTGCATTGACTGCGACAATTCGTTGCAGATTCTTCGAAATATAACCTTCGTCCTCACAGTCGGCGCATATACAACTAATAATATTTGCCACAGACGAAACGTTTGATACTTCAGTTTCATTTGACCACGGTCAACCAGCCTGCATCTCGTTTTCTCTAATCGTGACGTCACTAGTAAAAACATAAATACTCTACTACTATAGCAGAAATCATCATTGGTATTTGCATTGACTGCGACAATTCGTTGCAGATTCTTCGAAATATAACCTTCGTCCTCACAGTCGGCGCATATACAACTAATAATATTTGCCACAGACGAAACGTTTGATACTTCAGTTTCATTTGACCACGGTCAACCAGCCTGCATCTCGTTTTCTCTAATCGTGACGTCACTAGTAAAAACATAAATACTCTACTACTATAGCAGAAATCATCATTGGTATTTGCATTGACTGCGACAATTCGTTGCAGATTCTTCGAAATATAACCTTCGTCCTCACAGTCGGCGCATATACAACTAATAATGTTTGCCACAGACGAAACGTTTGATACTTCAGTTTCATTTGACCACGGTCAACCAGCCTGCATTTCGTTTTCTCTAATCGTGACGTCACTAGTAAAAACATAAATCATTATACTCTAAATCAACATTTTCAGGTAGACTCCACAAGTATATTGAACCCACTCAAGTAGAAGGTGTCAGATGCGATAGTGGTATCGAGGAAGGAAGCGAAATCAGCGTCTACTATGATCCAATGATCTGCAAACTGGTTTGCAGAGGAAAAGATAGGAAAGAAGCCATCGAGAGGAGTATAAAAGCACTGGATTCATATGTCATAAGGGGAGTGACACATAATATACCTCTTCTACGAGATATTTTGACTGAGGAGAGATTTAATAAAGGAGATATAAGTACCAATTACTTGCCAGAGGTTTATCCAGACGGGTTTAAAGGTTTGTATGTGTTTATGAGATATTCTTTTCGATCACCTTTTTTATTTTTCATCTTTCTATTCCCAACAACAAGTGAACTTGATTCTTATCTTCGAATTCTGATTCCCGGTCCTCACTTCGACAAAATCACCAACAATAAAAATATGTCAATTCTGCCTCAGGTATTACTATACCGGGTGACCCAAGAGTACTTATTTGCTCAAAATATCGATAATATTCTACATATATACACAAGTATACAGGGTTTAGCATAAGTACGTTGAAATATTCAAGTGACGTATTCCTGAGACAATTTTAAGAAAAGAAGTCTATATGAACTTGTGTCCGAAAATGCTTCGTTTCGGAGATACGGGGTGTTGCGATTGAATTTTTTTTTGTTCGCTTTTTGAAAATAACTCTTGCAAAAAATAAGTTATTTGCACGAAATTCGGTACCTGGGGTTTTTTTGACGTAGGAAATCATAATTTCGTATTGATTTTTATGTAACATCTAGAGGGCGCTGCGTACGCTGTCATCATTCATTTCATATTGCCTTAACATTTTTGAAAGTAAACTTTTGGTACTCTTCATGAAAAAACCTAATTCCCACACCTTTTCCAAGTAAAAAAGGTACACTTTCTCAACAACGCTGAAGGTGATCGTTTTCGAGATATTAGAATTTTCTATGTTGATGCATATTACTTAGCTCCTAGGGCTAAGTGAAGATGCCGAGAACATTACAAAAACTAATTATGTGGTGGATCTCATCAAAATAAAGAATTTTTTCCTATAAAATGTTTAACGAAGCATGATTCGTTTTCGAAATACAGATTGTTGAAATTTTTCAAAACATGGTAGGTTTTTGTCATAAGTACTGGTTTCAACTAGGTAAATAACTAGAACTTCCGTGTGTTTTGGCTCTCGTGAGGCTTGGGTCTTGGGTGAATTTCTTGGGGACTGTGTACCTTGATTTCAACTGCTTTTTTTCCTTCGGTCGTATTTCAGCATACCGGGTAGGGAAAATCTGTTTCGAAAAAGAACTTGCATTTCCTGTAGCTGACCGGGCGTGCTTGTCTACAATTGGCAACACGACAAAATGAATCCAGCTTCTCAAAAGAACCGATCACTTTATTTTTTGAGTGATATTTCAGGTAAACTCGCAGGAGCGGTGCTCTGCTGAATTCTAAAAACTTGATCTGATCCACGGCAAAGCAATCACTGATTACGTGCTCTGTTACCAGGACCTGAATATCCCAGTAGACAATAACCCCCTTCAGGGTTGACAGACCATGGTAGTGAGGAACTGATCGGCATTTAGTCTACGACTATTTTCGATAGATATATAAGCAACTCAAAAGTGTGGCGGATTTCGTGGCGACGCTATCCTATGGCTTTGGCTACATGCACCTGCACCTACCAGCTAGAAGAAGCTCTCCTGATCTTCTGTAATCATCCAGGCCAGAATGTGCAGCTTTAGAATCGTATCTTAGTAAGATTGATGAATGTTCAAGGTTTCAGATTCTCATCTTGATGTCCGTAGCATCCATTTAAAGGCTATTCCTGACGATACATTAGATTCAATCATGCAGGTCTTTGATGAACTATCTTTCAAGCTTGAGCGTTTACATGACCTGCTCAGGGGAAGATCTTCTACTCTTGAGTTAGTGATTAAGTCGCTTTTTGATTGCACTACCTAGCCTCTTGGGTTTGTTCAAGAGTTGGAGAACTAGAAAAATCTTCCTCTGGATCCTTCATTACAGGAAGAAGAGTTGAAGTCGTTTATTCGAAGACGTCCTCTGTAGATTCAGGTTCGGATTTTTTTGATTACTACATGGCCCATGAGGATCCCTGGAGGCTGAGGAAGGAAGGTTCATCTCGGCTTATCCTCGCATTACCGTGACACAAGACTTTTTACGAAGAAACGGTGCCAATATTTTGAAGCTTCCTTTAACGATGCCGAGTGAACTTAGTGTCATACATTTCGGCACTGATACACATACTTCAGGATGAGGCGTCATTTAGGAGTACTTTTATCTCTACGGGTGAAGTCTTACCCAGCAGGGGTATTCTCACTCCCCGTTATTGAAGGGTGGTATTGATATATTACATAATAAATGTAGGTATTACGTTTCTCATAAGAAATCTTTGATTAGCAGTATCTCATTTTCCCTTCAATATTTCTATCGTCACTGAGATAAAGTAATGATGGGCAGAGCAGTACATGAAACAATTATTTTACCAACAATCACTTCACTATTTGTTCAACCAAATCTGATGTTTTTCAGGTTCTCTTTTGAAAACAAACGAAAAACTCAAACTCTTAGCAATGGCTTCCACAATCTTTGCAACAAACGAGCTTCGCAGCCGAAACTTCATCAACGCTCCACAACACAAAATTTATGGAAAAACTTTAGACTCATGGAATCTCTATATAGAAATGATGGAAGAGAAGTTTAAACTGAAAGTCAAGCAAGAAAATGGTTTATTTGTCGTTGAAATTGATGCAGAAGAATTTAGGATAGATAAAAACTCTATTAACCTGGCATCACCTCTGTTGAATGTGAAAATCAATAATGAGGACAATGTAATACAGTTGTTATCAAAAAATGCTAGTGGATTTTATAATATAATGTAAGTACTGAATCATCATCATCTATTTTGAAATGTCATTATCATACATATCCATGGCAGAGACATAATTTATTTCTATAGTTTCAATTTGAGTAGATTTTATTTTATAGATATCATGGTACCAATTACAAGCTCTACATTCTCTCTCAGAGGTCAGCTGATTACTTGCATTTGATGCCAGAAAAACTCAAATTTGATGTTTCGAAACAAGTGAGGTCACCCATGCCTGGGTTGGTTAAATCGGTTGCTTGCAGTGTTGGCGATATGGTAGCAGAAGGACAAGAATTGTGTGTCATAGGTACTGTTATTTCTAAAAATCATATCAATGCTACTATTTCACACCTCCTAATTTCGATACCAACAAGTTTTCTTCAGATGAAATCAAATCATAGTAAAGTTTTCACTTTCTTTATTTTTTTTGCAGAAGCCATGAAAATGCAAAATTCTATGGTAGCGCAAACTACAGGTAAAATTAGATGCATAAACATTCATCCCGGAGATACAGTTGGAGATGATGATGTTCTTATAGAACTGGTTTGAGAAATTGATTTCTATTGATATATTTCGATAAGATTTGTTGTGTTTCATTTAAACCTTTCACATTCGAAAATTTATCAATTATCTATTGATACCAATTTCAGAACTTTATTTTACAATATAAGTTCATATAAGTTTTTACAGAAAGCCCCACTTGTGACATTTTGATATTTTTGATGTGAAACTATAGCCACATAAAACCGAATGCTGACGAGGCGACGCATGCCGTGGCGACGGGTCGCCGAGTGCAAGCGACTGTGCGATTCTCTTCCCACTGGTTACTTTATCTCTCTCGCCACACTGAGCTCGGATATAGTATATACGGTTGTGTTTACTACAGTATACATAATACATATTGGCAATAATGTGAAAACTTTCTGATGTTGCAGTAGAGATTGAAGATGGCAATAAATGAATTTGGGACTGTGAGTTCATACAGGGCGATTGTCAGAATTAATTTCTTCACAATGATTGTTATCGAAGTTATATTTGAAAAAATATATTGCCACATGTAAAACCGAATGCTGTCAAGGCGACACATGCCGTGGCGACGGGTCGCCGAGTGTAAGCGACTGTGCGATTCTCTTCCCACTGGTTCAGCGTCACTTTATCTCTCTTGCCACACTGAGCTCGGATACCTATGTATATACGGTTGTGTTTGCTACAGTATACATAACCTGTATTTTAATAAGCGAGTAGTGCACTAATGTTTTTTCTATTTGTTATTAACAGAATCATCAAAAAATCAATTAATTAAATAATTTTTTGATGGTGGAATTCATTTCTTATTCATTTATTATTTATATTTACAATTAAATCAGTTGCTTGCAGTGTTGGTGATATGGTAGCAGAAGGTCAATAATTGTGTGTCATAGGTACTGTTATTTCTAAAAATTACATCAATGCTACTATTTCACACCTCCTAATTTCAATACCAACAAGTTTTCTTCAGATGAAATCAGTGCACAGCAAAGTTTTCACTAATTTCGTTATTTTCTGTACAGAAGCCATGGAAATGCAAAATTCTATGGTAGCACAAACTACTGGTAAAATCAAATGCATAAACATTCATCCCGGAGATACATTTGGAGATGATGATGTTCATATAGAACTGCTTTCAAAAATTGACTTCCATTGATATATTTCGATAAGATTTTTAGTTTTCTTTCAATCTTCCTCATTCGAAAATTAATCAACTATCAATTGATACCAATTTCAGAAGTTTATTTCACAGTATAACAGTATATTCGCCGGCCACTTATACAATACGTACCCACTTATACGCCCGCAGTGCGGCTGTTCGCTGCACAACAGGAATACTGAACCTAGAATCTTGAAATATGCAGGTAGGTTCTTTGTATAGCATAAGCAGGAATTTCCACACCCAGGGATGAAAATTAGGGGTTCAAGGATTGTATTGAACTTGTCAAATTTTGAATTTGGCAACCTGAAGTTTGGGGTTCATAAAAAAACGTTTTTTTTAAATGGTCTGTCACGAAACTTAATGTGACAAACCAAATTTTACGCGGGCAACAACTAGTCAACTATGAAAGATTTAATTGATAGAAATGAATACAGAATTGAAAAAATGAGACCTGACCGGGATGTTCTTTAGAGAGTCGCATTTACCAACCACGCTATTTAAATCACCTAGCAGGATAACAACCGATTTAAATTTCCAATTGTCTTTAATGATGTCAATGCGGAGATTTTTTCAATTCAGTTTTTCCTTTTATACTTATATATACTTTCCCATGAAAGATTAGGGTTCATCAACTTTCCTAGTTTTTCCAGATTATCAATGTTGCTCGTTATCCTTGAATCTTTTATTAGGGAAAAAATATTATTTAGTAAACTCAAGTTAGGCTTGAGTTCTATATGAATATTCTTGTCGTTTTTGAAAGCTGGCCTTTGGGTTTATGTGTTGGAAAAAGAGAATAGTGAATCTTCGCCAATAAAGTCGTTTATTGGATTTTTGATTTTTTATTTTTCCCAAGATCCAATTCAACATTGTTGAAATGTGCGTTTTGAAAAATTAGCGATATCAATATCAAATTAGCAACTTTTAAATATTTTTCATTCACCAACTTCATAAATAAAAAATCTTTATATTTCCCTCAACTGCTTTCTGGATCCAGTTTGATTTTATAAACAGTTAATAATATTTTGTAGACATCATTTTTCTAAGCTTCCTTTTCTTCATCTATTTTTCGACAACTTTTTACTGAATTCACTACATTTGTTAGAATTATTATAAAAAAGTAAAATTATTGTAGATATAATTTTTCGAAACCTAAAGTTCCATTCAAATATCATTATACTCTCCTTCGTATTGAGATTTTTCAGATAAATTAAGTGAAGAATCATTTTAATATATTTTTCACTTTGTTCTATACGTGATGCCCCATTTACTTTCAAATATTATTTTTGGAGTAAAAAACAACATTTCCACTTTCCATTTCTTCGTAAGTTTCACAACTGTTTCGTTAGATATTTGAGAAATGTATCACGATTTTCCTTCCGGTGGAAAACTGAAAATTCAATCTAGAGAACACTCCGGAAACATTATTAAATTGCCGGAAAGGCGTTTTATACACTTATCACAAACTAGGTTCTTAAGCCCACCCCTGACCACCCAGGCCTCCCTTGCCATTGTTGGTAGCTTAATGAGTTGTAGTGTATTGTTGAATGAACACAATGAAAGGGGGTGAGAGACATTACATTTATGGAATTGGGGCTGGTGAATTGTGTCCTGCCAAATATAAGGATATTCTGGTAAGGCATCCAACTGTTTCGCTTGCCAGAATGAATATGTACTTTCAATAGACCAGTTAAAATGAAGTTCTGACAGTTATTTGTACGATTTTTTTATATAAAAGCAACATGTGTTTTTGTTTGAGAGGAGTTTTGTTTTAATCAATGATAACCAGACAAGTTAACTGTCGTTCACATCGTGGATAATGTTCAGTTTACTTCTTGGCTCAAATTGAATTCGGTATGCCAAGTGATTGACCATGTGATGATTTGAACCTGATTTGTTTTAGTATTCAATGATTTTTCCAAGATTGGTAAAAATACCACCACCTAACATGAATGTGTGTGTGAATGCGATCTCGAATGAGTTATGTTAACGCTACTATTCGTGAAACTGAGATTTGAGATAGTATCAATTCTTTCACTGGATACTGGACAACTATCTGCTTTTAGCATTTCCTACTGTTTGAAGATCCACGCCTCTTTACTGGGGATTAGGACAGTTTAATGCATTAAGACTCCGGTTTTTCAGTTTCAGCCAGTAGTCAAATGCACAATTCCCTACGTTGTCCATCTAAACCCTCTTTGCAGAAGGAATTCCATGGTCGGTAGCGGTGTGTTGCTGATGATATCGCAGAGATAGCTAGGCACGTCTGAGCCGTTTGGTGTAAAGCTTTTGGCTACTAGGCAATTACATTGTAAGTGATCATTGGTCTGACAATCATCACATATATCCTGTGAATTTATCATGAGCTCCAATATTTTCTACATAAGCATTCGACATAGGGATAGTCTCGTTTTGTGTAAAACCTATTCGAAGTAGGCGTTCCAGGTGAGTTTTCTATCGAGGATAATAACTAGATATTTCATCACCGCTACAAAAGGAATGATTTCACTATCGAAGGAAAGTGAAGAAAATCATCCTGATTTCTCTTCCTGGTAAAAGTAATCATTACAGTTTTGCTGAGTTTTTCGAAAATCTACTCCCTCTGCCACCAGTTACGAATATTATCGAGCGTTCTTCATTGTCAAATTCTTGTTGATTGGATATCACCATTTACTTTTTGAAAAATGTATCGAAATTCATCCACAGAGTGAATATCATCATTCTGAAAAAAAATGCATCTGAATGTGAATCTAACCATGTCTAGTGAAGTGACGATGATTCAAATTCATCAATAACCTTCACCAAATATATCTCTGTTATCAATACTTACAATGAGTAAATTAATTTGAATCATCCTCATCTTTTTTTGATCTCATTTAAAAATGAAAAATCATATAAGTGTCCACAGTGGTTATCTTAAGCTTTTCGCACGGCCTGAATTGCTCGTAGATATTTGATAACAGAAAAGTTTTCACTCGATATTATAATAAAAATGTTGCAGCAGATGCTTGAAATCTTTAAATGCAACCTATCCTAACCTCGAACAGATCCTCGAACAGATAATAACAATAATCAACTTATCACAACCCTTATATCCAGGTACTAGATGAATGTTTATTGGTAATACAACTCTGTGAAGTGCCAGGCTAATAGTGTGTGATTCTGTTTCACGTTATTGGTATTCTTGTTCAAAATAAACTCAAATGATATTGGCAATAATGTGAACACTTACTGATGTTGCGGTAGAGATTGAAGATGGGAGTATATGAATTTGGGACTGTGAGTTTATACAGGGCGATTTTCAGAATTAATTTCTTCATAATGATTGTTATCGAAGTAATATTTGAAAAAATATATTGCTCATTGCAAGATACCTACTGGCGCTGAATGAATACGTCCTTTTCTTTGAAGAACTTCAAAAACACAGCTTCAAAAAGAAATGAAACCTACCTAAAGCTATTAGTGAAATCTACCTTGTAAACACAACACCTACAAAAAAAATATGAGAACGGGAAACGTTTCGTCAACTCGAGTGATTGGCATCTTTAAGCTTACATTCACTTCTTAACATTAAAAAAAACAAAACATAAAGCAATGTAACTTTATATCGGGGTACTTATACAGCGTGACTCACGGTCGATGGTAGGTTAGACGTTTCTGGAAAACGCAAATCATGATTCTTCTGAAAGTTTCACCTCTCACATTTCGTTAGCTGTTCTATCGATCTAAAATATTTTCAGCATTGCGGCGTTGCCACTTCTATCAAAAAGTCCTAGCAATTATATTTTTTTCAATAGAATACCCCCTATATTAATACATTTTTGGAATCGCTGTAGTATTTTAATACTTTTTTGTTAATAATGTCCTATACCTATCTCTATCTGTTTTCGAGATA